TCGTTTAGTGAGCTCTGGGTCCACTCCACCCTCTTCCATTCTATATACTTGCCCAACCCATCACAATCTCGTCTTCACAGTAACAATGCATAAAAAATGATCACAACACGTAGCATGTTGCATTCCAAAGTCCCATGTTTATGCGTAATATTCTGCCAAGAAATAGTATCATGCATGCATCTATTTTGAAAGTCTATAAGCTTATTTTATAATAGATTTTTTTAATCCAGTTCTGTGACCTATACATTCATGCATAGTTGATTCGGTATATCCAAAGATAGCCTGCTTATGCAATATCTCTTTATCTCCTCATGACACCGCATTTCTAGGTAAATACAAGTTGTTATAAAGAGTCATTTATTAACCACTTTCCACCTGAATGTGCTATCAGCATCGTCATAGGATGGAATATCATGGGATGATGTCAATACAAAAGTGCAGCCGTCTGTTAAGAGAACAGCTCACACACGCGTATATCGCAGCGCTACCTTTAAGATACCTTCAGGTGACTTGTCCACTTTCCCACCCACCAAGCTGCAGTGTTCATCGCGGTGAAAACTGATATGTATAGTCCTCCGACCTGGAATTTAGCAAAATTTAGTATTGGAACCAAATGTAATGTGTTGGCTATCCACGTCATCACATGAGTGGCCGAGCATAGGTCATGTGCAGTATGCCCTCTTTATATTCGCGAGGGTTACGTTCCGAAGATGCTCGTGAACAGCACTTTTCGCAGATAATGAGAAATTACTACATAAATAAGCTATTAAATAGATTATATCTCTTCTTGGTTCTTTCGGTAAAGTCACGCAGAATGGAAATAAAATAATAAAAATAAAACGTAATAAAATAAAATTCTCACGACGTTTCGGCCACAACACAAGTAGCCTTCTTCTTGGGCAACTCACCAGAATGTGGGAAGTGACCACATGCTGGTGAGATGCCCAGCGACATTTACATATTGCCAAAGAGAGGACAAAACTAATTTCATAGCGCAACAAGATAGTTAAATATTGCAAAGCTAGATCAAGAAGAAGGAGGGAACGTATAGTCAGTCAATTTAACGACAAATGCCCATGGTCCAAATGTTGTTTCCCGAAACTGATGATGGATAACGTAAGTTCAGTAGCCAATTGTGCTGATTCACCTGACAATACTGTAGAGGTTTTTTTTTAATGTGGAGTGACAGGCATCTGTTTTATACTCGCACGATCTGCGAAAAAAGTCAATTATGAATCGCAGTATTGGTCACGAAAGCCTACGCGTGAAAAAGGGCATCTGTTTATGATACACGATAGCTGACGGTAACTATTCGCATTTGCTCAAGGATTTACGTATATAACTGAAATATCGATTATAATAAAAACGTCATCCTCTTAAATTATTGATTTATATCATATATATTATAGTAAAACAAGGCCGTAGCCATGGAGTCAACATTGGGGGGGGGGACCAAATCTCCCAGGGGGACTGGGGATCCCCCCCTAGAAAAAAATCTAAATTTGAAAACGAATTTCCTGCCCAAAATATTTTAAAAATTCACCAACACATCGGATGGACTTTTATTTTTTACAATAATGTCCAATAGTGTATTGTATTACATTGCTCTGTTTTTTACCTTTTCCTGTTTCATTGTATGTAATGACAGAGATTAGGGATTGATAAAGCACAACCATAACCGCAATCATATAAACAGAAATCTATTTTATAGCTAAATATTGGGGGGGGGGGACATTTTGAGCATATTTGAATATATTATATTTACGGCCTTGTAGTAAAATCACTGTTATGCGTGTTTAATAGCAAAATGTGTACATTTGTGTACATTATATATTAAAATGTACTTCTTGTATGCCGATAATGATGCACCATTTGCATTATTGTGCACGGTAATTACCATCTACAGTGATAATCCAATCACCGGAACCCTTTTCAGAGTTAATGAAACACAAACATCTTCAAGTACTGTATTTATGGTTGCGGGAAATCAATGCAAATGTGTGGGAATTGCCTTCTGAGTCACGTGTTTAAACAGGTGCAGGGCTCATCGGCACGCAAGCCACCACCTCCATCGTGTCACCCACCACCTTGCAGACGTGATGCGAACTGCGCTATTGTCACTCGCAATGCAGTGAACGTATAGCCCCGCTCGCAGCGTGAGTGGATCGCGGACCTCAATGTGCATATTATTATTCATCCCAATCATCACAAAAAGCGCCTCTGATCAGCACGGTTGGCTAAGTACGGTGCAAAATACGTTCAATATGCGTACGTACAAAGCGCTGCCCTTGCATGAAAAGAAAATCCATTTTAGAAGGCGCCCACGTGATTTTCTACACTAATGTTTAAGTCCATATGATAGAGTGCCACATTATTACATAGTTTAAATTATTCGTTTTATGTGTCATGGTCCACAGTTATAAACACAATCCCTAGCTCAACGTGATAATTACTACAGTCTGAGCGACGAGAGTCATTTTAGAAGTGACGAGATGATGGGGCGCTGCGGTGGCGATATGTTAACTACCTCGCCTGGTATACAGAAGGTCATGGGTTCGATCCCAACCCTGATGCCTATATATTTGGAGTCTGCATGATCTCCCCGTAGTTATGGGATTACTCTCCGGGTCCTCTGGTTTTCCCTCCACATTTAGAAACATGCGTTTAGAGAATTTGTCTGCTCTAAGTTTCCATGTGATATGTCACTTTGTTGAGCTTCTGTATATGATAGAAACCGATGTTGTTGTGTGTAGCCATAGTTCACCCAGGGGAAGCCCGGGTCATTTAGATACCATTGGCCACTGTTGTGCATGCAGATGTTGAGAGGATATAACAATTGACGAATCGGGGAGGTACCAGAGGATAATCTATCATCTAAACAGTTTCACCAAAAATAATCGGCAACGATTATTTCAACGTTGCAGATTAACCTTCGGCATCACACTCGTTATGGGAGGGGGGGACAGCAAAAGAAAACCAACGGAGACGGACACGACACACGTACGGCACCTTTTTTTGTTACTTGGTCATGCTATTTACTGTACTTATCTGTTTACTTATTTCAAAAGTGGAGGAAAGGGCAAAAGCACATCTCTGCAATTCCTTGCTCGTGCCACTGCTGGCAGAAGGCCCTTCACGAGAGATAGCTCTGTAAAGCCCCATAGGATGGTGTGTGGCTAATCTTTCCATACAGGCCAGACGTATTGGAAGACTTGCTTGACTTTGGACTTTGCTCCCCATAATCGTAACTTTTCCTCAAGCTCTGACAACCTTTGCTCAATTCAAGAAGTTTAACACGCAGGCTTTCGCGAGCGAAACTATCGATAATAACGGTTTTTTTTCCATTCAGATCGCGTAATATTTCCTTTGAACATCTGCATCTTTTGAGGAATGGCAGCGAAGACATATTTTTTACTCTCTTGATGTGTATTTTTTCCAATTTTGGGGTTTTAAGAAAAGTGTCCTCCCCATGGAGGTTAGTCAGTTTAACACGAAGTCTTTCATGATCAATATTATCCATATCATTAGACCTCCTTTGCCAGTACCAAAATATAATAATAGGGTTTTTCCCCTTTTTCTGGTAACAAAACTGCAACGTTTTTACAAGGAATCATGTGTGCATTAACCACAATACTTGTGGTAAAAATGCAAAAAAACATACTATGATAATATATGCATTGTCCTTGAAACTGATTGGTCCACACCAGAGACGGCTTTCTTTTGAGCCTCGTCTCAATTGGTGCTAGATCAGAGGACGCCAAAAGGCGTACAGCTCAAAGACAATGCACTATCAAAGTAATGAGGGCTCGGGGTAAGCATCTACATCATTAGACCTCCTGGTGTGGACCAATCAGTTTCAAGGACAATGCATATATTATCAGTGTTTTTTTGTTTGCATTTTGACCACAAGTATTGTGGTTAATGCACACATGATTCCTTGTATAGAGGTTTCAGTTTTGTTGCCAGAAAAAAGGGGAAAACCCTATTATTAATATTATCCATAATAAAGGTTTGTTTTCGTCTTCGCATCTGATAGGCTTACAATGATGACATCATCTTTACTCTATGTAAGACCGAATCTCCTTCACAATTCTGGCAAATCGCCTGAAGCTGGTTGTGATCACCAGCAAAATGTCGTACTCAAATTGTACATGTTGTGGGTTTACACTCCAACGCACTGGTGTGCAGAAGTAGTAACTAATTGGCATGTTTTGTTTAAGTGACAAACCTTTCTAATTGGCTGTCGGGTGGTGGCGGGTTTAACAGCATATTTATATTAATGCGATCTAACCCAAACAATATTAATTCAAGAAATGTGTTGTCATATATATCAACTTTTTTATGGTTTCTGTTTGTTTCTGACAGCTGGATGTGTTGGGCCTCTGGGCCTGTGCTCAGACAGTGTTAAACAATATTGCATTCCAGTTTTTAAGCAATTCAATATCATACTTGAGAACCATTAAGGCTTATTGTGAGCACACTGATTTTTAGACAATGATGTGTTTAGATTGGTGTAATGCCAATAAAGTAATTTGTATTGAACACGATGCACCAGAGGTTTAAGTCAAAAGTAAATAAAACGAAGTAAAAACAAATTAACGTCCTTTTTTTACAGCAAACATGTGGAGAAAGAGTAATTTTTGTGAAAAATGACGGTACTGGTACTTACAATTTGTGCTCATGAAACCTTAAAAAAGGTATTGCAGATGGAACACCAGAACTACGAGAAAATATACTTTCATAATAGGATTTATTTTAGAGTCAATATTTCATGTTAAGGTGTTCCTCTGTGGTCTTATGAATATTACTCCATCAAAGGCGTTTAACTATTGAATTATAAAAAATCAAATTGGTTCTGTGTTCAAACGAGCCTGACATAATGGCCAGGACCAGCTTCTCCACAGGCCAACCATCAGCTTTTTACAGTACAATTACAATGCAGATTTGTATAGCATAACCATGTGGCAGCATCTCAAGGTAAAGGTGCTAAAGACACAGACCTGGAATGCCGAGCTTGTTCCACTGCTGGAAGAAGGTACTGCACAAGTTGAAGCTGTTGGAGATATTCCGTCTACCGTTCTATGCTAACCAGGCTGGCTTCTTGCAAGAGGCGGGAGTACTTAAACGGAGACCTGCCGATTGACTGACTGCTGCGTTGGGGTGGATTCAGAAACTTGTCCCATTGTTTGAACTGCTGCTCTGTGAGATCGATCCGGTGACCTCTGAATTGAAAATCCTGAATGCTAAACATTACTCCACGGCAACATCCCACCAAAAACCGTTGCTGACTTTCTCCAAAGGGATACTAAGTTTATTAATCATGTAAGCATTATAGGCCCAGTTGACCCCCGATCAGGAATTTACTTCATGTCCTTCCAATTGTGATTTAAGTGTTCTGCCACAGAGTGGATCGAGCCTGATGTGAAACTATTTATAATTGGTTTTGAGTTTATTTTCCCAATCTAACATAAAAAAATGCAAGATTTTAGAAACAATAATTTCTACACAACTGTGGTTAACGTACTCTCTCTTGCGGCAGGTTAAATAAAGGACGTGTATAAGTGTATGATAATATTTTAACGATAAAATCAGTAAAAATCCAGACGATGATTAAAACACCAGTGACAGGGAAATAACACTTTTAACAAACTCAGCACGACCTTGCCCCACCGTCCCTTGCTTCTCTCGTCTCGTATGATGTCCCCTCCCGCCCGCTCCGCTCTCAATATTTCCCACTCCTAACCGTTCCCACCCTCTCTTTGTGCAAAATCACTGCTTCTGCACCTTTTCCCTCTTTGCCCCTTGCACTGGAATAAACTTCCCCTCCACATTATTTAGCAAGCACCCTCCCTGTCTAGTCTCCGCTACTCCCTCAAGACCCACCTCTTCTCCCTGGCCCATCGTTTCCTCCATTCCTCGGTATCCCCCGTAATCCCCGTACACCTCTAACCTCCCTCGCCATACCCATCCCTATTCACCGTATCACATTTCGCTACCCTTAATGTAGCACCCATAACCCTTGCAAAGTGCCTATGATAAAGGCGCTATGTAAATGTAAGTTAAGATAAGAACATATTTATCCAAACACATGGGTTAAATCTTCCTAGAAATGACTTAATTGTTTATCGTGATGATGTAACCAGAATGATGAGACGACATGTACTGTAGATAGTAAATAATTGACAAATGTTAATATACTTTAAAAGCTATCATCTACAATTAATGATAAACAACGTGGAGCACACAGCGCATGCAGGACCATTCAACGTCTAGTTAATGTGTCTGCCAGACCATTAAACACTGGATTAACATGAATGCCCTTGTAACCATCAGTCTTGTCATAACTCATTAAAATAGTACCAAGTAATGCGTCTGGCTGTGATATTATTAATGTATACATGCCAAAAAGTTAGTTGGCATTTGCTAAAGTGAAAAAGAAAAACAATGCATTTTGTAATTTTGGTAACCGTCTACAAAATACCTACTGATGAACGATATGGAATACAGCATTATAAAGTTAAACATGGAATTGTCTCCATTATCATCATCATCAGCCATGATCTAACTACTGTTAAACAAAACCCTCCCCACGTCTTCACCATACCGCTTGCTCTTCCAATGCCACAATCTATTTCACTCCGGCACCTGAAAGAGTGTCGTCACGTCACCTCCATTGTGGTCGTCCTCGTTGGCATGTTCCCTCTTTTGGTTGGCAATCCATCACCAGTCGCGTCCATCGGCCATCATCCCTTCTAGCGATGTGTTCTGTCAGTCAATATTAACAGTTAATACGATGTGTCTGATTTATATTTGTTCCTCGATCTATGTACTCATCCTAATGTCTATCAATGTAATTCGTGGTATGCATCATTTTCTTTGTGCACCATCAAGCTTTGGTTCAGTTTGCATTGTCGGTGTCTAGGTTTCTGATTCACATGTTTTCAGAGGGCAGTGTTTTCATGAATACTATTTCACAACTGCATATCTATGCAAAGTATCTTCACAAAGTGGTCGTCATTTTTTTTCAATGTGAGAGTGAGGATTGTCTGTCGACTTCTCATCTGTACTAAAACTTGCAAACTTCCATTTACAAGTCAAGCACTAACCAGAGTAACCTATTTGGCCAAATGTATGAACACATCAAATGTTTCATGGCAAAACGAGTGCCAATTTACACAAGTTCACATGGTTGATAGTTCAATTCCCACAACTGTGAACGGTCTGCTTTGAAGAGGATGTTAAAAAACATAGTCTAGGCCATCATCTGCCAATCTCCTATTACAAATTACGCTATTTTGTGTTTATTTCGCAGGCTGGCTGCCCCCTATTCATATCTTGATCCATGCCATTGTAACATGGAATATTCACTGCTAGCTCGGAGGAGGGCAATCGGAGTTGAACATCGATGTGTGCTCGTCTGAAATGGATACATTTGTTTTGAACACGCATGGCAATTAAAAGTAATTGTCGTGTCGTTATCAGGAAGTGCCTCCATTTAATTAAGCATCAACACAACGCTAATTTGTTTTTGTATTTTTGATACTGTTGAAGGGAAATCTATAATTTAAATTACCACAATGTTTGCATTTGTATAGGTACGTGCACCACAGTTTAGTAAGAAGAGGAGGGGGGGGAACTGTTGTGTTCAGCACGCCTGCCTCAAAATAAAAAAAATAAACATACAGGTTACAACACAGCGTCTTTTGACCAATGATCTTAGCTTCTTTTGTAGAGCTGTAGCTTAATGAGCTGTCATGTCAATCACACGTTTTTTTTGTCACAGCTTGGCTAGCCTCTCTGACACGGTGTGTGCCACACACACACGGAAACTTCCGCCTTAATTGAATGTTTATCACTTTTGGAAACACTTGACTATCAGCCTCATTAACGAGGTAGTTTTGTCCATGGCACACACGGACGCACGAGTTATGTTTATACAACAGCAATACCTCCCACCACCCAATGTAAAAGTGGGATTTCCACCAGTGGCTTAAGGCCACACATTTAGATAGGGGATCACCACGGTGGCGAGCAATTAACTAAATCGCCTGGTATACAGGACGTGCGTTGGATCCCGACCCAGAACACACGTTTTGAGTATTTGGCTGCTATAAATTTCCACCTTTGCAAGTGGTATCCATAACTTTGATAATGCCGGTGATCTCATTGGATAAGCATTGGCTTGCAAGCATCATCAACAGTGCATCTACATTGTAATGCAGTGTGTCAGCATTCAGTAGTGATTACCAGGCTGGCTGGTGATGTACTGGCCTGAGAGGGTAACAACCCTGTGCCGCAGTTGCCATGAGGATTTATTAAAGTCATTTTCTATGGCATTTCTGCTTGAGTGGTATACAATGGCAAGCAAAAACAACACACATCGGATAATATTTGGAGATGATATGTTGCCCCCCTAGGTGACTCAAGTTAACGTTTTTTTTTGTAAGAAACTGACTTCTGCCATTAAAAAGGGGAATTTGCACCACTGGTTTACAGAACCACCAATGGAGATGAAGAGAGCCCCAGGCTGGTTTGACCTGGGAGACACAATAACTCTTATGTTTTGGGATTTAGGCCATAATCATTCAGTAAACGTAAAACAGTTTTGTTGGAAATCAAAAGTTGATGTGATCTGGATATACGAGAAGGGTCACCATTGGCTGAGTACTATCAACAAAGATTAGAAACATCTTCTGCTCTATTGAGTAAGACGAAATTACTCCCCGAGTATATTTGTTTAAAAAAGCGAATTGGCAGTGTGCAGTGTTTAGCGGTACGTCTGCTGGTGGTACATGTTTTGTTAACCCGTGACACCTGCATCTCTTGTGGCCTCCTCGATCCTGATTTGAGTGCTGGATGTGACAATTGGTATCTAAATCTGGCCCAGGCCTCCCCTAGTTCAGCTCAGCCGAGATTGTGGTTTCAGTGCTGAGGAGACAAAGGTGACCAAGCACAATCTTGAGAACACACCCCTCTGCCACATGTTGTGCTGCCCCTTAATAGCTATTTGCTCAGAGTACTTGAACCAACCATCTATATGATTTATTTGGTTAAACTGTACACTCTTGTCTTACTATTAATACTAATTTCCTGTCTCTATCTCGTTGTGTATGTGATGTCACCTACTGTCCTTTTTTTCACCGAGGGCATAACAAATGGAACGAATGCAATCGTGTATCTCTTAGTTCTCCCAGGATGGTGATAACAATGCTTCAGTACATACATTATACACTGCACGTGCAGCATTGTACATTGGACACTTTAAGTACGGTACATATCTATAAAAGCGTCGGTGTGCTGCCCAACCTTCTCACATTTTGCTCATCTTGCACCACTGTGGCAGTTTGTAATGTCCATCTCGTTTTTTTTGGTCCGTTTTCAACAATCTGTTTTGGTACGTGAATCAATGCGAAATATGAATGTCCACCACCAGTACTGGACTGTGTGTACAATTGTCCTGAAGTTAGGGGGACACTGAGTCAATTTTATACCGTCATGTGTGTGCATCTTCAACAATGTATTGCATATCTAAAGGTCAACTCGGCACATCGGTATAGCATAGCACCATTTGGTAGGGAGTCAAAAGTAGTGGTTTTATGGACTAGCTCATGACATAGAAATTCGGAATTTCCACCACTGTCTTACAATCATCAAAGGAATGATACAAAACTTTTAAGAAGATGGAAACTCAATTTTGACGAGAAGTGAAGTTTACACTTTGCTTGTTATGACCTTGTACTTTTTACAATTAAACAAAGATGGTCCCAAAAACACAAGTGCTACTTTTGATTGTCCTGGTGTAGGTATGTGCACTCATCAGAGTTCTTTGAAATGCCAAGGCGAACCTTTGTAGGTTCTAGTATAGAGAGGACGTCATCCCCAAATACCAAAGCTGTCAGTCAAAAGGACCCTGTGCCTGTCCAGGTGATTGAGGGATCGAGTGACCGGGTTCGGTAGTACACCCGTATGAAGGAGCAACATCAAAAAAAATATCTATTAAGCTGAAAAATGTATTCACCCAAAAATGTTCAGGCTAACAACCTCAAGCAACTTAAACAATCCGATGCATTACACTCGATGAGCAGAGACCACGAACTCAACGGAAGATTGGTTGACACTTTCAACAGGGTAGAGTCGCTGCACTTGTTTCTACATCAACGCCTACATCTAGTGAGTGGGGCAATTTGAAACTCGCTCCGTCAGAAGAGCATCGTGTCCAATTGTGCGAGTGTGGATTTCAGCGGAAAATGAATGATAAAAAAAATTGCCCGCAAGATCGCCCACGTACAAAATGAAAGCTCAAGATCAATAGATTGTACTGGCCTCAACATTTCTGCCTTTCGCCAGATCTTGAATTAGTTGCAGCCAACACGCAACCTCCATCTAACTTTCACAAATCGCTCAGAATATGCTGGATTCTGTCAGATCTCAGAAACAAAGCAGGATGCTCGGACCGGTGTTCCCCTGTACCTAACAATCATTGCACCTGCTCCAAACCCCGCACCAATCATCTTCTTCTTCGAAGCCGCAAGTCTCATTATTGAACGAGGTTAGCTGTTCACAATTCCTTTCTCCACGTGCTTCTATCCTGTGTCTCTTAACGCATCCACTGTCTTCATATCTCGTTCCACCGCATAATCCCATTCTAGCCTCGATTTTCCCTCTCCTCCTTGCCCTACATCAGTGGCGTCATCATAGCCATTCTCGTTAGGTCGCCTTTGCCTCTTCTCAACACATGCCCAACCCATCTCAGTCTTTACCTCCCTGGTCTTCTTGAGGATAATAGTATACATTGTTGGCAGACATTAGTATACATTGTATATGTACTAATCTCTAAAAACTAAAGTTGACATCTTGTGGATAAGGCAGTTTAGAAATATTGCTGAATGAATGGCTCCATCGTTCACATACATTTGAAAATGTTAGTACAAAACCATCTGATCCTTAGTCTACCTCATCTAACCTGTATGCTATGTTATGTGTACATTATTTGCATGTTATTTTACATTTTTATTATTTTTCCTATTATTTTAAACTTAAACATTTTGACTTTATTATTGTAATTGCATTTTAACCACGGTCACCCTGAACAAAGAGACATGTTGTCTCAATTGGTTCTCACCTGGTTACAATAAAATAAATGAAATACAATATAAACTCTACTGTATTTAGTAATATAGAGTATTTGAAAAATATG